TCTTTATTATAGACTTTGCAGGCCATTCGTAGAGGGAGAGATGAAGTAAGATTTGATGATTCAGTATATTCAATACTGTCAGGGTTTCCTAGCACAGAATCCGTACTGTAAATACATTTATTTTCCCAAGAAGTTAGTTTACTAAGCACTGGAGAGTTTGGTACATCTTGCCTCCAGGTTTTGCATTTGACCTGATATCACAACAGCCTTATGGAAAAGCATCCTAGATAAGTTCTGCATATAATTTCTTTTTACTTTCTATTTATTCATTTATTTATTTATTTGTCTTCTGATTTCACACCTCTTTCAAGGGATAGGCTTCAGCCTCTGACAGTGAGCTGGAGGGTCAACAATCTCCAAGTAACTGAACGCAGAGAAAGAAAATAAGTAAACATGCACTGAGGGTAGTGCACTGGCATCTTGCAATTTAGCAAAATTAAATGCCTACCCACTGTGCCCTGACAGTAAAATCTGGCAAGAGCAGTGTTATGAAGCTGGACGTCCCCCCAGGGTGAGTTTGCAGAGAGAATTAGTCAGAAAGCCCGCGACCAGCAGCATGCCCACTTTATCAGGCGTTTAAGACAACAACTCATTGCAAATGAGTGGAAATGAATGGAGTGAAAAATGCCTGCCAGTCCCTGTTCAAGGGATGCATGCACTGCAGTTTTTCTTGGCTCATGCTTTCCTGGAGCAGGTGATAGGCTACTTGTTGCGGATTGAAGGTGGTTTCTGGATGGCTTAGGTGGAAATAATATGAGTCCATGCAGAGACATATATTTGACAGCATTTCTTCCACTTTATTTAGCACAGTACTCCTTCACAGTGGTTCTGTCCTCAGTGTATTACAAACTCACACTGTTTCCTATCACACTGGACCTTTAAAAGGATGCTCATGCAGAGACTCGCTGTAGTGCATGCAGACTTCTCAAGGATCCTCTCCTTCCCCATCTTTTGATAGTCTGGCTGGCTAAATATGATACGGACAAAGAGTTACTTCTTTTCTCCTCCAAAGACCGTGCTGTACGGTCATTACCTCCCCGCTGGCCTCCGCATTTGGGTGCTTCTCTGGCAGGGATGCATTTCCCCTGACAGATTTGGAAATCACAGCTTTCATTCCAGAAGTGAGGATGAAGAGGTAGATGACCAAGCATGTCTGTGGGTTTGGAAGAAAAGTGATGCTTAGAAGCTGTCAAAAATATTAAAGGAGATGAAAGATAAATAGGCTTAGATGTAATTTGGGGCAAGATTGCATGGTGAATTTTAGTGGTCCACAAAGAAAGACCTTGCTCTCCTGTGAGCTGCTGTTTGGTGCATCTATCATTAAGCAAATTGTCCTGGTGCTGAATGCCGCCCTGTGTGTGCTGCTTGGTGGAGAGCAGCACGCCGCACATTTCTAGCATTTCTTCAGATATTTCTCTTTGCAAAACTTACGTTACTGCTCTATCTGTGTGTTATATCTTGCTCTCTCCTTTTGCTAAACAGAGAGGAAAACACATGGCAAACGAGAAAAAAAAAAAATCATCAAGAGAGATGAGTGGGGCTGCGTCACGGCAAGATGGTTAAGGAAAGGTTAGAGATGACATTAATGAACATGGTGTGCAGCCTGAATAATCTTGTAGACTTCAGGGAACCAGACCAGATAATCTCAGCTGCCCTTTCTGCCTCTACTATCTTCCAGTCACTATCTACCATCAGTAGATACGCAGAGAATTTGTACTGATGACGATGGAAATTCGACCCAGATCTCAAAGGGCCTCAGTCCGACCCAGAGAGGCGGGGATGGAGGCCCATTAAAGCGAATTACTCCTAAGCATGTCTTGCATCTCAGTCTTGACTTTGAGCTTGTGCTTTGCTTTTAATTGCCAAAATGATCTTTGGTTTGTTGTATTTTTCAGGCTGAATGTTGATAAAGAAGCCTAATTCTCAGTGGATTTGACATGTTGTAAATTAAGACAAGTACCTTGGAAACCACTTAAATAAGATTTACAGGAGGAGCTATTTTTTGTAGCTGCAAATTAGAAATAAATATAAAAGTGCAGCATATTAAAACCCTACCAATAATGAAATTGCATAGCATAACTAAATTTCATTCTAAGATAATTCCACAGCATCATAAACTTATGTCACTGTCAATAACCATTTATAATAGAAGCATCAAAAATATTCAGTTACGGTGAAATACAGCTCTCTTAGACACTTACTCATTCCTGATTTACTTAGCAGAAATGTGTTCTCTTGTAATGTTTGTTGCTTGATTCTTGGTTCAGCCTCTAAGCAATTGACTGAATGGTGGTGGGAGTAGTGATCTATCTTTGATTTTGTCTATATACCGTTTCACCCACCCCATAGGCAAAGAAATAGTTTAACATCTGGCTTAATGTAGCTGGTTAAACCAAACTGGCACCTTAACCTTTACACCTGCATTTTGGTACCTGCTGCTATTTCCCCAAACGCATTTTATTATAGAATTTTGCTCCTGATTCCATAAGTTTATTTGAAGAAAGTGTTTGAGAAATTCAGATTAAAATATATGCAAATGCGTGTAAACCAGGCCTTTTAAACACATGCAATCCCTTTTATGAGAACAGTACTTTGTGAATGGTTCAATAATTAAGGTAGTTTGCATTTTAAAGACTTCAGTTTTTAATTGGTTGAATATTAAGCACAGATCATTTAAAGATCTGTTGTGATATGCAAACTATGATGTCTCAGCTGCATTTGTTTTCAGGTATCAGTCTATCCGCATAATGCAAAATAACATTCTGCAGTTATTTCAATTAGATGCAGTCAGCCTTCAGAGCAGGCAATTTATTTCATTTCTGTAAATGAAGAAAGCAGTTGCAGCTTTCCCTTCCCTGATGTTTACTGCCCAGAACTAGTGCTCACGACTGGTCTGTGTGCAACACATAAATAGCTTTCTAACTGAATTACATGAACGCTCACAGTAGAGGACAGGCAGTTGAACTCCCCTTGCAGGATTTCATTTGGTTAACTGACTCTTCCGCCTTGGGAAGAGATGTCACCTTGTTTGGGGGTGTTCATTATCATTCCAAATTACATTACGGAATGTCCTCGGAGTTCTTAATTAGCAGGATCTGTTTTGCACAAGTGCTTCACATTGGAGGGGCTTTTCTCCTCAGACTGCAGCTGTTCCCTCGGCGGAGGAGGGATTTCACCCCAGCGGCAGCGGGGGATGCGCAGGCAGCCGCGGTGTCTCCGGAGCGCCTCGGCTGGGTCTCCGCGCAGCGATTCGCTTCCAAAACCGCAAGTGGCATCAAATGCAGCAAACGCTCCCCCCGTGCTGCCCCCTCACTTTCCACCGCTACTTTTTTTTTTTTTTTTTTTTT